ACCCAAGGCCCCCTTCCCCCTCAAGTCCCACCCACCCCGTTCTCCTACTTACCCCTAGGCACAGCTTCCAACCCCCCCAAAGAAAAAAACCCAGTCCCTAGGAATGAGTTAATTCCCAGAGTGGGAGAGAGTAGGAGAGGAAAAGCCCCGGCCCACAAAGAAGAAAAAGGTCAATGCCAAACTAGGTTATCATATGTGGACCCTCAAGTCCAGACCTACAGATTCCCGAAAATACCCTGTAGTTGTGTGGGGCAGGATGGGGAGGAGTGGAGCTTGGGGCTCTAGGAAGTGGGGCTCCCAGATCTCCAGTGAATAAGGGATGCACCATGGTCACCAAAAGCAGAGGGGTGGGCTACACTGCCTGGGTTCCTCTGCTTATCTTCTAGTCTCCCCAGAGGGACCAGAGCCCAGAATCACTGTGAGGTGCAGGATATCCCTACCTCCATTCCCCAGGCCTTCCTTCAGGCAGAGGGTGGGGATATTCAGGGAGGGATGAGCAGAGAACCCTCCCCCAACCTCTGCCCAGAAGGGCCCCACTTAACACAGGACGTGGGAGAAAGGTGCCTTTCAGCCAAGATGCAGGAACTTTGCTACCTGTGGCCAATATCACCTGAGTCTGGGGACCCTTTGGATACCACTCTGGCAGGGGTGGTAACTTTGCTTTACCATCTACCAGCATGAGTTCAACTCAGGAATCTGACAGCCATCTTCTGTAGGGGTTGCTGCAGGGGCTGCTACCCCCAGGACCCTCAAACTAAGGTGGACTGACCAGGATCACCCCAGAGTCTGAAGATTAGAGTTCTCTCCCTCTCTTTTTTTGGGGTAGAGACAAGTTCTTACTATGTTACCCAGGCTGGTCTTGAACTCCTGGCTTCAAGCGATCCTCCCACCTCAGCCTCCCAAAGTGCTGGATTACAGGTGTGAGCCACTGCATCTGGCCAGGAGGGTTCTGAGCAGGACCCTCGCCTTCACGGAATGATAGTGGGCCAGGCAGGTGACACCTGTGTGTTGAGTCTGATACAGAAGGGAGTCTGGGACTGTGGAGAACCATATATGTTTGCCTTGTTGAGAGGGATGGCTACTGCCCAGCTCCAATCCACAAGCAGACCAGCTGGCCCCACACAGTCAGGGGCTGCCAGCCTGCAACTTCAGAGCAACATGACAGATTCTGTATGGCTTGCTGGGCTGGCCTGGGAGGCTCATTATTATTGCTGAAACCATGTCTAAGGAAAAAAGGTGGCCTTACGATTAATCAGCAGAGGCGGGCACAGAACTCGTTTGGAAATTGCAGATGTTAGAGTCGTGCTGGTTTGGATGCTGGGGTGCAGAGGCCAGGAGTTCTGGGCCTGGTTACCCTGTGATTTCAGACAAGTCACTTCCCTCACTGAGGCTAAGGCTGCACCAGCATCCCTAGCTCTGGATCACTGGGAGCAAGAGACTGCTTAGCCCACCTGCCCTGGGGCAGGGGAGGAGGGGGCTAAGAAGTCTGGGGAAGGGCACTCACATTGTCCCTCTGATCAAAGTCCACGGAGCTGGAGACAGAAGTGAGACGCTCATACCGGTCGTGACTGTCCCCGTGCATTGCTGAGGCCACACTGGGGGTGGGGAGATGAGAGATCAGAGAGCCTGGTGAGTCGGGAGGGGGGCTGGCGTGAGCACTCCCGAGCTCCAGGGCTACAGAAGGCACAGAAAGCACAGAGGCTGAAGCCGGGAGGAATGACTGCCCTCTACCCTGCCGCCCTCAAATAGGTCCCTTCCTTTCAGGGAGGCTGTGGGAGTGGGGGCACCGATGCTGGGCAGCGGGGCCATAAGCGAAGAGGGTATCTTCATCATCGCCCTATGAAGGCTGAACCAAGAATGATTCGGGGCCCTGCGGTTCCAGAGTTGACCAGCAGGGGGCGGGGGCAAACGAGCCAACATCGTGGGAAGAGCAATGGGGAAATGAAGGACCGGATAGACCAGGAGAACCTGGAAGGGTTGGGGGACTGGGGCTGGGAGATGTCTCCTGGGGGGGGGGGGAACCCTCCCCTCCCTGTTCCCTGACCCCAGCAGCTGCGGTAACTCCAACTCCAGTCCTACAGACAGAGACCATAAAGTGACAAATAAGCCCAGGCTGGGTGCTCCGTGGGCAGTCTCCCTCCCAGGTCTCCAGAAGAGGGGAGCAGAGAACCCTGCAATATGAAGAACTAGCTGTTAGGAGGCGAGAAGCCGCTGGTGACGCCCAATCTTGTCTCTGCATGATTGTGCTAAAGATTTCCTGGAGGGCAGCCCCTCCACTCCAGCCAACGAGGGCCACACAGGCAGCGGGGCACAGGGAGGGACTTCTCCCAGGCAGGGAGCCAGAGGGAGAGAGGAAGGTGAAGGGAGGCAGAGACAAGCTGGGGAGCCCCCTGCTCTGCAAAGCACACCGCCTGCGTTAATCCGAAACATGAGCCTGCAGAGGAGAAAACTGCAAAAAGAAACCAGTAACTTGGCAGGAAGAGAAGAGAAGCGTGAGAGAAGAAAAGGGAAAGCTGGTTTAGTGGGGATGAGGGGGCTGGTGCCCCACATACTATTCCTGCTCCACTCGGTCCCTCTCATGCCGCGGAAGCCTGGGGACAGAGAACAGACAGGATTAGCAGGAGCGGGGGAGAGTCCCTGGGGCCGGGCAAGGGACAGAGGCCCAACGGAGGGCCCGCGTGTCCCCACGCCCAAAGTGGGGCCAGTCCCTCTCCATCCCCCAACAAAGGGGGTGAGAGAGGGCTGACGCTTTCCTGTTCCTGAGGCGTGTGGAACAAGGTGTGCGTGCAGAGATGGAGGGAGGGCCCCAGACCTTACCTGTCTGCATCTGTCACCAAGGCCAGCCGCCCATAGTCCCAGGCCACCTTCCGGAGGATTGAGAATAAAAACAGCAGTGCCTGAGGGAAGAGGGCGTAGCTGGCCAGAGGAAAGGCTGTTTGCCCACTAGACTAGGGGTCAGGATCCAGTCTTAGAAGGGAATGGCCCTGGCTTGGGCGAACGGTCAGAGGCTGGGCTTAGACTGGATGACGAGCAGTCCTCTAGCAGTTAAGGAAGTCAGGGTCGGGCGGGAGGGCGGTTAGAGCTGGAGGTGCCTGCCAGGTACACACAGGGCATGGGTGCCAGGTAGGGGGAGGCATGGGGGCACTCACAAGGAAGCACATGAAGTCGAGGGCCAGCACGGTGGGGACACCCCCAAAGGGCAGGCCCTGCAGGACCGTGCTGCGGATGCGGGCACTGTAGCAGTAGTCCTTGGGGTTGCTGTTGTTGAGGGCCGTGGTGCCCAGTGTGGCCAGCAAGAAGGGCAGCATGGCTGCTATTGCCGCATGGTCCTCCTGCGCAGAGGGCAGAGCAGTCAGCTGGGCCTGCCCTCCCTCTCATGGCCCGTAAAGGTGGGCATGGGGAGGGGACAGTGAGGGCCAATTTCCAGGCTGCCTGGCTGAGTGGAAGCTCTGGTCTTTGGAGATAAGGGCCTGGGGAGGGGAGACTTGGGTCACAGGGATTTACCTTCACTGGCTCTCTGGCTGTGACCCCGCCCTGGGCCAGAAGAATTCAGCCCAGATGCCAGGCCGGACTGGGGAAACTGGTTTCACTAAGCTGCAAAGTGTCTGTGATTCTTGATGTCTCCCTCCACCCCCACACATGTACACACTCTCACTCTCTCGGTATCAGGGCAGGGGGCGGAGCTGAGCCTGAGGAAATTCAGGGAAAGGTCTTAGGCCTGAGGATCCAAGGCTAAGAAGAGGGTCTCCAGGCCAGGGGAGGGCAGGTCGGGTGCCAGCTGCCTCATCCTGATCTTCTCAGTCTATGTCTGTTAGAAAAATGGCACGATTTCATTTGCTTAGTTTCAATGCTGCTAATCACCTCCCTATAACTGACTTCAAAACACGCTATTCAGCTTCAGGGCTGCCCCTCTGTCCTCAGAAGATGGGGTCAGAGTCGGAAGTCAGGTTAAAAGCTGAACTTCTGGGTGACAGTTGCCTGCCTGGCTCCAGCCACGCCTGCGTATCCTCATTCCTTCCCCCTGCACCGTGCTCCCCTCGGGCCTCCTCACCTCTCCAGCTTGCACAGGGGCCACCTAGGCAGTGTGAGGACTACAACTCCCAGAGTGCCACACTCTCACCTCCGGAGCTGGGCAGGCTGGGAACGCGGTGCCCTCCAGCGAGCTTTCCCATTGGCAAAGGAGGGGCGAGTGGGCGGGGCTCCTAGCCTACCCAAGCCCCCTGCAGCCAGGGTACTGCCGGATTCCCCAACACCGCAGGTGGGTTCCCTGCCACTGCCAGGCTGCCCTCAGTGCTCCGGGCCGATGGGTGGGCGGGAGGAGGAAGCCCAAATGCCTGGGTTCTAGAAGTGCTTGGGGACAGAGTAGAGCTGGGCCCTGGGGAAGCTCCCAGGGTGGAGCAGTGTGGCCTCGGTGAGTAGCACTGCCCCACCCCATTTTACTGGGGGGCCCCTAGGGGACCCTTCTGCTGACAACACTGAAGATCTGCCGTGTGGGGGGGGGGAGGGGAGTCCCCAAGGAAGAAAGGAAATGACAGAGAGAACAACAAACCTAGGATCTGTGGCTGCAACTTTGGGAGCGAGTGTCCCTCAGCTCCCTGGGGCTACTCGGAGGGTCTCTCTTGCCTCTTCCTAACACTCCCAGTCCCAGGACAAGAGGCTCCAGAACTCAGACAGAGGAGGAAGCTGGAGTTGTTTATGTTTCACCTGGTCCCAGGGAGTCTGCAAAGCCTGGATTAGGAAGGCTAAGGCAGAAACTGCCCTGTGTGTCACACCCCCTTCTTTTCCAGCCCAAGCTGCCTTCATGCTAATTTAGTCATTGTATCAGGCCCTCTGTTTCAAGAATAATATATGCATAATTTCATTTAATCCTGGACAATCCTATTATTTGAGTGTCACTGCCATTTTAAAGTGAGGGGGCCAGGCGAAGTGGCTCATGCCTGTGATCCCAGCACTTTGAGAGGCCGCCTCGGGAGGATTGCTTGAGCCCAGGAGTTCGAGACCACCCTGGGCAATATAGCAAGACCTCATTTCTAACAACAACAACAAAATTTAAGTTAGCTGGGTGTGGTGGTGTGTGCTTTTAGGCCCAGGTACTTGGGAAGCTAAGGTGGAAGAATCACCTGAGCCCGGGAAGTCGAGGCTGTGGTGAGCCATAATTGTGTTACTCACTGCATTCCACTCTGGGCAACAGAGTGAGACCCCGATTCAAAAAAACAAAACAAAACAAAAACAAAAAGGGTGAGGGCACAGGGGCTCAGAGAGATTAAATAACTTTCCCAAGGTCACACTGCTAATAAAATGATGGATCCAGAATTCAAACCTAGCTCAACTTCTTTCTAAAGCTAGAAACTTTTCAGACCCATGATGCTTTTCTGATGGGTCTAGAACAAGGCTCTGCAGACTAGGAAGCTTCATAAATGCTCACTAAATGCCCTCAGGCCAGAGGACCCGAGGATACTGTGGCAATATGTGTGCTCAGGTGTGTGTGAAACAGTGTTGATGCATGTGTATGCAGTAGGAGCTAGGTGACCATCCGGCAGTCCACGGAAATAAAGGAGTGGTTGACTTCTAAGTAGGGGTGTGCACATGGGTGTGTCTGGGAGCCTGGGTATGCAAACACAGGGCACACAGAGCCCTGGGTCCAGGGGCAGCTACGGGAGGTGGAAGTATCTTGGGCTGGGGGTGCTTTCTCAATTCCCAATTCCAATGGACTCCAGAAATCTCACTAGCCCATTCCCACCCCATGCCTGTATCTCTCCCTGAACTCCAAGGCTTTGCCAGGCCAGAACAGAACAAGTAGAAACCCCAGAGCTCCATTTCCCCATCTCCCATCTTCTTCACACCAAAGGAAGGTGCAAAATCCTGGGAGCTTCTACACGAGGGCCCCCCCCCCCCCGCAGGGCGGGGTACTCTAGAGTGGGTACATAAGTTGCCCAAGGTCACACAGCCAGTATGTGGTAGATCCACATATGGACCCAGGCAGTCTGGCTGGAGTGTGTGCTCTTAACCACAGCACTTTGCGCTTCTGCAAGTAGATGGGCCACTTCCACCAGGGAGCCAGAGGCAGCCGGCTCCCACTCTGGAGAAGTGCTGCAACCCTATTTCTACCTGTTTACCTTGCCTACTGCTTGTGGCCCCCAGACCCTCCGCTTGGGCCTTGGGTTTGTGATCTCAGGCTCTGAGGCAGTTGTTGGGGACAGACAACACAGGTTCTAAGGTGAGACAGACCTGGTTTCTCACCTGGGCTAATTACTCAATCACCCTGGGCCTCAGTTCCTTCACCCGTAAAATGGGGACAACAATCCAGCTGTGTGACTGGAGGATTAAGTGAGTTGACTTATGTAAAGCTCTTAATATAGTTCAAGGCACATCATGGGTCCTACAAATTAGCTATAGTTATTAATAAGATGTGGAATCAAAGGGGTTGGTTTGGAGAACTAAAACTGGTAAAATAAAAATAAAATAAAAACATAAAATTTGATATGATAGAAATATAACAGAGCCCCTCACTCAGGATGGGCTTCTTGTTTAGACTCAAGGGCTTATACTGTGGTGGAGACTCTGCCAATAACTGGCAGGGGATGTTCTCAACCTCTCTGAACCCAGCCCACCCATCTGTAGCAGGCTGGGAGGTGGGGGCATTGGGAGCGTGGTGAGTCAGAAGTTCAGGGAAGAGAAGCCATTATTGATCAGTTACCAGGTAGGGTGCCAAGTTCCCTACCTGTGTTATCTTGTTTGATCCCCACGGTAAACCCTGTTAAAGAGGTGGTAGTAACCAACTGAGGTTCAGACAGGTTAAGTAACTTGTCAAGGTCACACAGCTAAAGAATGGCAGAATAGGATTTGAACCCAGGTCTCTAAGACTCTGCTATACACGGAAGGAACTTGTAAGATGTCTAAAAGGGAGTTCTCGGTTACCCACCACCTGCGTCCTACCTTGCCACATCCTCACCCACCTACCCACCCACCCACAGGCCAAGACGGCCTTGGGTGAGCCAACAGCAGGCCCTGGCATGTGCCACCCAGGACATGCCAGGGCCTAGACCCTCCAGTGCCCTGGAGGACACCCATGCTGCCAGCGCACCACCACCTGAAGCCTAGCAGACACTCCCACGCCCCTCCTCATCCCTGCCTGGGAGGCAGGACAGCCCTCCTCAGGAGGGGCCAGGCACAGCCTCCTTCCTCCTAGGCACTGCAGACCCCGGGACAGGCTGGAGAGTGGTATTGGGTAGGGACATCCCGGACCCCCAGGGCAGTGGGGTGCGATGGCTTGCCATGAGCGTCCAGACCTCCTCCCAGGGGGCCCAGGCAGGCGGCAGCACAGAGCCCCAAGGGCAGCCGACCCATCTGACCTCTCCTCACTTCCCAAGCGTCCTTTCCTTTTCTGGGGAACAAGGCGCCAAGCTTGGGGACTGTCCGCCTCAGGCGGCCAGGACAGCCAGGAGGGACAAAGCGCGCCCCCTCCCCCAGCAGGGCCTTTGCCCCACTCTCAGTTCTGCGTCCGAATCTCCCCCCACCGCACCCTCCAACGCAGGCCCGGGCGGCTCATGAATGAACTGCACTGTGTGGGGCGCAAGAAGAGGACTCGCTCGCAGAGCCAGCCGCCTCCCAGCCCGCCGACCGGTC